GTTCTGATATCGGGTTTCGAATTGCGGACTGTTTGGCAAAGAAATGAATACGAAGGATCTTTTGTTGATAATATTGGGATCGCATGGTGCTCTTGTTTCCCACGCTGTGGAACAATTTGGTTTGCGCGTATTCATGCGTGGGGAGCTTGTCAGTGCATTAGTAGAGGAACTCAAGGAGCTGAGGTCAGCAAAACGTAATGAAGCACAGGATTCAGTGCTGAAGGTAAACCATCAAGGGTACCCCACTCGCACCGTTGGATTAGGGAAACTGGAAAACGGTGTCGAGAGGATTCCGATGGAGTACGGGGTGCTGTACATACCGGCAGTTGAAAACTTTCCACTGGTGGACGGCCTTTTCTTTGTTGATTCGCCGCAGAAGATGCTGGTTGGGCTGCGGATGGCTACGGCGGGTGAGCACCACACCACAAGATAACCAGCACCGTGAGTCTGTTCAATGAACGCCTGGCGGAATATTTTAAGGGCTGGAAGAAATTATCCCAGACATGTTGTGGGAGATTATTTGTGTGCAGCAGGCAGACAGCACGCCGTTGAATGACTGGCTGGCAGAGATGCGATGTCGTAAATTCCGATAATGCGAGTGAGGAAGGAAAAAGAAAAAATTGCGGCGTTCTGGGAGGAAGAGGTGCGCCAGTACGTAGCAGCAATATCATCCGGAGAGTTTAGAATGGACGAAGCTCTCTGAAGTGAGGAAGAACCACCGAAATGGTAAAAATAAATTAGGGAATGAAGGGGGCAATTTTGATTTCTGGTAAAAAACATTGTGGGATTTATATATTTTTGGATACTTGTGTGCGCGTACGGTGCGGGTGCATCAGCACAAGACGGCAGTATATCGCACAGATTTCAGAACTGTCCAACGCTATCGAACTTAACGGTGACAGAAGAAAATTAGGGAGGGATTGGGGTTGTTTGGTTTCTGGTGAAAGACATTGGGTGATTTTCGTATAGCATGTTGATTGTGTGTGCATACGAGGTACAGTCGGGGAATTGCCCCGGTATGAGGGAATCATTGTGGCTGGCGGTGTCGCAGCAGCACTGCATTGTCCATTTTATTCTATTGTGTTCGAAGGCCCATCACTAACGGAGGCGTCTTAAAGGGATGGACGACGAGTAAGTTCTTTTCAGGAAACAGTGCGCTCCGTGTGACCGCATGGAGTGAGGTGCCGCGTCATGGCTGGGTGAGGATCCGCTTCCGCGTGTGTCTCTTTGGGTGATTGCTTGCTCCGTGCGTGTTGTGTGTTGACTGCGGGGCTGTGGCCTTATTCCGTTGGCCGTGGGACTGAACTGGAGGCGATGATGGCGGTGTGTCGTTCCTTCTCGTCCACGGTGGGTGGCTGCTGGCGGTGTGTGCGTTTGTTGTGTGTACGCCGAATCCTCTCACCCGCGGACTGGCAGCACTGCGATGGTGTGTGTATGTGTGAGGGCTGGTGTGGAGTCGCCGGCCAGTATGAGGGCTGTGGTGATGCTTTTCCGCCTGTCGGTTTTTTTTTGTGTGTTGTGCAGCTTCTTACTTTTTTCCTGTCATCATCTCCTCCTTTGTTCCTGCGTGGAGTGGCCGCATGCTCACGGGCCATGTTGATCGTGAGTGCGTCTTGACGGCGTCCATTCATTTCTCTCCGCCTGTCTGCCATTCCCTGTTGGGTGTGGCGTGTTGCACCGCGTGAGGGCTGACCCGCGCACACCGACGGCCCGCCGTGACCTGCCGTGTTGCTGCTGTTTTCTGTGGGCGATGGTTCTCCGTGCCGTCCCTTCCGGATTGTCTTATGACTCGCTCTCTGCGTGGCTGCTCTGCTCTGCTCCTCACGGAAGTGCCTGATGTATTGCCGCTGTCTTTCTACTTCTTGAACACAAACACGCTAGGAAGGGAAGCAACCAAACGCGAATCGCTACTGTGAAATTTGAAGGCACTGAAAGGACCAACAGCACACAGACCGCCCACACACACATATTTATATGCTCTCACGTGTTGCTGCAGTGAAGGCACCCCGCACACACAACCGTCGCCGCGTGACCGGATCCAGCGGAAGGAGGAGGGAAGGAAGAGAGAGTGAGCCGCAGAGGCCCAACATGTCCCGGCGTGTGTTTACTTCCGCGGTGCTGCTTCTTCTCGTCGTGACGATGTGCTGCGCTACCTGTGGAGCTACGCCTGCAAGGGAGAGTGATGGCAACAGTGATTTAAGAAGTGTTGAGGGGCTGCAATGGGTCGATCTATTTGTGCCGCAGACAACGCCGGTTCTGCCGGAAGGTGGAGGTACTCCAGGGACGAAGCGTGATTCATTTGCTTCACCCTCTCTTGTCAGTGCTGGTGGAGTAATTGCTGCTTTTGCCAGAGGCAAAATAAATGCCCAATATGCCGTTGATGTATTAATGAAGCACTATTCTTCTGATGTTCTTGCGGAGTACATTGACTCTTCGTGGGATTGGTCCACTCTTGTTGAAAAGGTGAGTGAAGGTATAGGAAGGCACACACCGTGCTTGATACAACGGATGGAGCGAATGATCGTGTGGGCGATGTGCTCAACCCCACAACAACAACGAAGGGTAATAAGGTGTTTCTTCTTGCGGTAAGCTATGACGTGCTCACTGAAAGTGGTGGGAGTTGGAAACGGGACAGCCTGGATCTGAAACTGGTTGTGGGTGAAGTCACAAAGCCTACGGCGAGCGAGCGGAGTGGATGGATCACGTGGGGCACACCCACATCGTTAAGCCAGACTACTTTAAAGACACCCAAAGCTGGATTGAAGGATTTTGCTTCCGGTGGCTCAGGTGTTCTGATGGAGGATGGCACGCTCGTGTTTCCTCTGATGGCGATGAGTGAAGCAGAAAACGTTTACTCCATGATCATTTACTCGACGGACAACGGCAGTACCTGGGCGCTATCTGAGGGCATGTCCCCTGCGAAGTGCACTGACCCCGCATCACCGAATGGGAGGGATCACTTCTCAGGATTGTTGACTGCGAGGATGGCCAGAGGGTGTACGAGTCGCGTGACATGGGGACAAAGTGGACGGGAACCATCGGGACATTTCCAGGCGTGTGGACCAAGTCAAAACCAGAAGTCTCTCAGGATGTAAGCTTTTATGTGGAGGCCCTCATCACCGCGACCATTGAGGGAAGGAAGGTCATGCTGTACATTCAGAGAGGGTACGCCTCGGTGGAGAATAAGGCCACTGCGCTCTACCTTTGGGTGACGGACAACAACCGCTCGTTTTTTTTTGGACCGGTTGCCGTGGGGGAGGCTGTGAATTGGGAGTTCGCCAGCGCCCTGCTGTACTCGGATGGCAATTTGCATCTTTTACAACGGAGGGACAACGATAAAGGCCGTGTCATTTCACTCTCCCGCCTGACGGAGGAACTGAAGGAAATCGAGTCCGTCCTCAGTACTTGGGCGCAAAAGGACATTTTCTTCTCCAGCTTGTCTATACCCACAGCGGGTCTGGTGGCAGTTGGTTCCGATGCGGCCAGCGATGACACGTGGAACGACGAGTACCTTTGCCTGAATGCAACGGTGACGAACGCGAAGAAGGTCGAGGATGGATTGAAATTGACGGGACTTGACTCCGGGGTAATGTGGCTTGTGAACATTCCGGGTGATAATGTGCGTCATGTATTTTTGAGCCACAACTTCACACTTGTGGCGTCGGTGACCATCGAAGAGACTCCGACTGCGGACGCTCCTCTACTGGGTGCGATTTTGGGGGACACTAATTCCCCGCATACCATGGGAATCTTGTATACCGCGGATAAAGAGTGGGTAACTATGTTCAGCGACAAGATAACAAAAAGTGGCACTTGGGAGCCGAAGAAAGAATACCAAGTGGCACTCATGCTGCAAGGCAACAAGGCTTCTGTGTACGTTGATGGTAAGTTGCTGGGGGAAGAGGAGACGATGTTAACAGTTGGGACACCACTTGAGCTTGTGCGCTTTTGCTTTGGCGCGTGCGAAATGCACAGCTCTTCTGTGACGGTGAAGAAAGTCTTTCTGTACAACCGCCCACTGAATTCCACTGAGATGACTGCAATCAAGGACAGGAAAAGTGACGGCTCCATGCATGGGGGCATGTCGCGGGCGCTGCTGCTGATGCTACCGGGGATGTGGGGCATTGCGGCCCTTTACTGAGAAATTGCAGTGGGGACTTCATGCCACCAGCGGGAGCATATGTGCCTCTCCACGCACCCTCCGAAGTAATTGCCAGTTTTTTTGTGGATGCACCGTTTATTTTATGTATTTTTATTTTTGGTTTGAATACCCTTCCCCCCATGAAAGTCGTTGTGTAAAGGCGTGCTCCCCCTCCCGGGACTGCACCGCTGGTTATATGTTTTTGTTCTTCTCTTTCATTATATATACGTGTATTTGTCTTCTCCTATATGGTGCAATTTTCTGATAATGGCGGAGTGTATTTAATGTTTCCGTCGGCCGATGATAAGTGCACTCGGCATTGAGCTCAACGACGATGGCGGAGTGGGAAAAAAAAGGAGTTGGGATGCAAACAACCAAACAAAAAAAACGCACTTAGCGCCCCAATGAGATTTGGGTGTTGTGTGGACAAAATAGGGCTGAACGGTCGAAGCAAGTGTGTTTTTACTTCTGCATGAATAATTTACAAAAAATTTTTTTTTTTTGCCGCGTCACGATGGAATGCCTCTTTTTTTTATTTCTTTAATGGGCGTGCAAGTTTTTTTAAAAGGGGTTTTAGAAAATTTCTAACTTATTTCTATTTTAGGAAAATTATTGTGGGTTGCCGCTGGTTGGGCTGCCGTGCCATCTCGAGCCTCAGCGGCTTTCATCCTCCCTTTTTTCCGTCCTGCGCCTCTGCTGCGTGTTTGTGCGCCCCTTCACGTGCGTGGCTCTCTTTTTTTCTTCTCTTATTTTATTCTTTGCGTGACTGCAGGCACACACAAACGCACGGCGTACACGTTGCGGTGCAGTTGGATGCTCCTCCTGCGCTCGCTGCTGGCAGCTGCGTCACTCCGTGGACATGAGGAGAAGGAAGAGAGAGGCGGTGAGAGTGCGCCGCGGCTCTCATTCTATGTGGGAATGCTGCACGGCGTGTGGCGGTATTGCTCTGAAATGCCGCACCATCACGCACGAGGACGTGGCACGGAGTGGAATATCTTTTTTTTGTCTGCGTGTCTGCTGCTGTGGGTGTGGGTGTGTTTGCGTCGGACTTGTCGGCACGATGGCCGCAGCGTGTGGCTGCCACTTTGTTCTCTTGGAGAATATGCTGCCACGCCTTTACGTGTGTGTTGTTTCGGGGACAATGTGCCGGCGGCTGTGCGATTGCCGGATGGAGGGAGAGGAGTGGAGGGAATTGCGTGAGTGCAGCGGTCAAGAGTCGCGCTGGGTGTCTCGCCGCGGAGGGGATTGCCCACCCAGCCCAGCACCGCTCCTGTCGGGCACCCTCTCTCTCTCACACTGCAGGATTGTAATCGACGCCGGCAGCACGCAGCGAGGCAGCGGATGCCGCCACCGCCACGAGTGCGACCGGAAGGGGACACTTCAGCTGTTGCGTTCTGAGGGGGCAATCTGTGTGGCACAGTGGCGTGCCCACAACCCCCTCGCGGACTCCGCACAAGACACCGGGCACTGGCCGCGGAGTGTTTGCGTCATGGGGGACACTGCGGCTGCTTCCCTCCTCCTTTCAGGTGGACGGACGCCTGTTTTTACTCTTTTTCCCACCCAGGCGGATGGCTGCGCGATGGCACCACAACAAAATGAGGCATTCGTTTTCACCATGGAGGGGCATTATCTGTGATGCTACGCATTGGGAATATGAATGGCGAATGCAATGAGAAAGGGAGCTTCATGGTTCTTTAGTGCTATGCGAATTGCGGGGATATTCCATAAGACGTGCAATTTTTCTTTGTTCTGCGTGGGAGGCTGCCGTGTTGCATCGCTGTTGTGGCGTGTATGATCTGTGATTCCTGCGTGTGGCCGCTGCTTTACCGAATTCCCTTCCCACTTTTGTGTGTTTTCGTGTGTCAGTGGCTATGTGTCCCCGTCCTCTTTTAGAGTGTGTGCGGTGACGGCGGTGCCACAGGGGTGCGGGCCGTAGCGAGCGGAATGCGTGGGCGAACCCTCCGTGCGCACCACGTTGCTGTTATTGTTGGCACCCACCAACACTGTGCTGGGTGGATGACATTCACTTGCCGTCGTTGCGGCGGTCCTTGTGCATGTGGTGTGCGTCGCACACCGTGTGGATGAGTCTCTTATTTGCCTTACTGCCTGTCGTGTCTGTGCCTATTGGTTTTATTCTTCTTTTTGGTTGTTGGTTAGTGTTCAGATTTAGCTCAATCAAACTAAGAAAGCAAGGAGAAACAATGTCTGGGAGGCCCGAGACAGTGCACGGTGGCAATGGGGAGGGTCCCGTGCCCATTGTGCCGCAAGGAAATGGTCGGAGGAGGGCGAGGCCGGTGCTTGAGGGTGGCACAGATCAACTCGCTGCGACTCGCAGAAGAATGGAGGAAGCGCGGCAACCACAGTGGACTCTTGACAGACGTGTGGAAGATGTGCTGCTGGAGGCAACGGCTCGCAGCAACGAAATGAAGCTGAACGATTTTCTTTGGCGGAATTTTGGCGGCAGGGGCGTTGTGGACACGAATAGGAATGTTTTGCTGAGGGAATTCTTAAAGGACCCCACGAGGTATATCCGCGATGAGGGACTATTGAACGAGATACACGCATCGTCTCATTACAGGAGGATCAGGAATGATCTAAGGAATAAAATGGTTTTTGATGAAGATGTACGCAAGCTTGAGGAGAATGGTGTAAATACCCTAATCGACTGGCTAGAAGCTGCCGCGGGGGTAAAGGCAGTTGTTCATTGCATCACTAAGGTTTCTTTGGATCCATTCCTTGAAGACGTGAGGAACTCAATGAGGATGAGTGCACCGAGGTACCTGGAGGGGTTCTACGAGTCTGTGTACAGTGCGAGGTGGAGCCATGTGGTGGAAGTTCCTGGCGGCGAGGGGAAGGGAATGGAAGTGAGGGAAGGGGAAGCACCGCAGCCATGGACGTACAGGAAAGTTGGCCGAACCCTCGAAAAGGATGATGGTGCGCAGCAGTCCGGTGAAGCACCTTCCGTGTTGATGGTGCTCACCTCGGACAAGGGATGGCCGTACTCGTGGAATCGGAAGGGGGCGGAATCCACTCGTGACTGCTACGTGAACTGTGAGGTGGATCGAGTGTGGCAGATCGTCAAGCGTGATTTAACCAAATGGTCCAGCAGCCACGTTAAGACCGACTTTACGCCTGAGCGGCGTGTGTTGATTGGGACGCCCGGGATCGGGAAGTCGATGGCTGCCGGTTCGTACCTCCTCTACCGGCTGCTGCACTGCGATGTCGAGAAACTCCAAATGGTTGCTTACTTTATTGCGGATCGAACATTCCTGTTTGACAAGACCAGGAGGACGGTGTCGACGTACATGAGCGACTCCAGTAATGCGTCTTTTGTGAGGAGCCTGTCTGACCGTGGGGTGAAGGGGTATATTATTTACAACGTGGCAGAGCCGGATGATGAACCGTTTGGTTATTCGTCTCCCAGGGGATGGGGCATGGTTTTGGTGTCACCCCCATTCGAGAGGAACTACAAAGAATGGGTGAAGCGGAGGGATGCCACAACAATAGTTATGGATTGCCCTGGTGAAAGCGATGTGAAGGCGATGTGCGCTTGGATGAGACGCCATCAGCCCGTGCGGGAGCAAGCGGAGTACTGGAAGGTGGTGAAGGGCCACATGGATGAAGTGGGACCTATTCCACGTTATATCTTTGACGAGCGAAAGTATGATAATTGGGTTCAACGGTGTCACAAGATTGTCGATGAGGCGACCTCTTCTGTAATCGCGCAATACAGTGGTTTGGGACGTGATGGATCCTGGGATCGTACGAAGGTGCTCTACTGGCTTGCGAGGGTTGTCCGAGTACGAGGTAAAACGAGCGGTTCTGAATTTCTTTTCAATTTACCGGTGTCTGCTCACCTCGGAAATAAAACATTATTCAAGTCGGCGAAGTTAATGCAGCAGCTTGATTTTAATTTTCTCATATCGTGGCTGACGGATTATCTCATATCAGAAAATTTTGGAAGGTGCACCGTGTTTGCATTTTTGAATGAATCTTTTGTGAGTGCAATAGAACGCAGACCGAGGGAGCTGAGGCCATCACCACAACGTCGGTCCCACCGCTGTGCGCTGGCGGTGTACTCACAGCAGCGCTCCACCAGGCACCATGTCTTACCGCCACTGGAACACTTTTCTGAGAGGATTGATGTGGAGTGCGGGGTGCTGTACGTAACGGAGGTGGAGAACTTTCCGCTGGTGGACGGCTTTTTCTTTGTGAAGACAAAACCAAGGACGCTGGTTGGGCTGCGGATGGCTGCGGCGGGTGCGCATCACACGACAACCAGCACTGTGCGGCACTTCACGGAGTATCTGGCGGCATATTTTAATGGTTGGGAGGAATTATCCCGACAACTGTCGTGGGAGATTATTTATGTGCAGCACGCAGACAGCACGCCGATGAATGACTGGCAGAGATGTGATGTCGTCGACTCCAATAATGTGAGCGGCGCGGACAACAATGAAATTGCGGCGTTCTGGAACGAAAAGGTACGCCAGTACAAAGTGTCAATATCTTCCAGAGACGCCCCAAGAAGGGTTTAGAATTGAGGAGTAATTAAAGGAATAATTGGGGAAACAAGTTAGGAAACTGTGGGGGTAGTTTGAGTTCTGGTAACAAATATTGGGGCTTTTTTCATATGGTTGGATGCCTGTGTGTGCATACAGTGCAGATGCAGCAGCATCAGGCGGCAGCATCACACACGGATGCGGAAAATGTCCAACGCGAGCGATCGTAACAGTGAACGAAGAAGAGATTATGGAGGGAACGGGGTAGTTTGGTTTCTGGTAGAAAACCATTGCGGGTTTTTTCATACATGTGGATTTCTGTGTGTGCACACGAGGCATAGTATGGAGATTGCTCTGTTATGAGAGAATGATTATGGCCAGCGGTGATGAAGTATGACTGCGTTGTTCATTTCCTCTTATTTTTTTGTTCTAGGGCTCATCATTAAACGAAGCATCTTTAAGGGATGGACGACGACCAAATTATTTTGTGGAAACAGTGCACTTCGTGTGACTGCTTAGAGTGGGGCGCCGTATTCAATTGAAGGTGGAATTGCTTCCTTGTGCCTGCGTCATCGTTGCTTCCCCTTGCGATTTCATGCTTGACTGCCTCACCGCGGCGCCAGGAACAATTGCTCCGTATTGTCGGGAGAATTTAGGAGCCAGCAATGTTTCCCTCACGGGATCGTTGTTGGCGCAGGGCTGACGGCATCTAAAAGCGTCCGGACCACCTGTGTCGTGCCGGGACACAGTTGTGGCACCACGAGGTCTGGGGCACGTGCTACCGCAGTGCGGGCATCACGATTTATTTGGGAAAGCACGAGGGAGGACAACAGAAGCACATTTGTGCGTGCTGCGGTAAATTGGCACCCATACTCTCTTTATTGAGAATGGACAATGAGGTGGTGCGCCCTGCGCCTGTTGCCTGCGCTCTCATGGGCAAGTGTTTAATATAGCGCGTCGTTTTGCGAAAAAAGCTCCGTGCGCCAACGCGACAGAGGAACACGGTTGGCGGTGGCAGGAGTTCTTTCCGGAACGGCACTGGAGTGCAGGGTTCCTGGAGTCGGTCGCTCGCCGAGGTGGGGACGGCTCTCAGGGATTGTCTCGAGGCTGCTCCTCAATGCCGTTGTTGTTGTTGACGGCCAATCGCTGATGGGAGAGCGAGAGATAGTGTGCTGTCGTGTGATTTCTCTCAGTGGCACCCGTTGGAGCGATGCATGTGTGTTTGCCTTGTAGATGTGGTGTTTTGGATCTTTATTTTACGCTATTCGGTGGCGCAGAAGTGAACGGGGAAGTGATGCAGTCACGAGCTGCACGGGCGTGGTGGGCACCGTTACATGAGCCTGTGTATGATTCGAGCAAATCCAAGTGTACTATGCGGTTTGGGTCTACAAGGAAGGAAGAAACAGTGGGCGGCTGAGGGGAGTTGCAATGCACGCGGCTGCAGAAGGTGACATGCGTTGCTGAGTTCACGTTGACTGCCACTTTGGATGCTTTTTCTCGAGGCCGGGAATCCTTTATAATTTACTTGGAGGTGCTTGATGACGCCAGTTGTGGAGGGTGTTTTCCTCCATACGAGGATGGCACACTGGAGACAAGGACGAAAGGGAGCGACGCCTCTCCAAAGGAGCGGCTGCTGGAACGTTGACGAGACACGGGATTGTTTGCACGGCCAGCCGCTTGCCCTCTGTAGGATGTTCATTGAGGCGTTCATTGGCGCGAGAGTGAGGTGCACGCACGGGCAGGCACCGCGGCAACAGTGTCGTTGGATCCCCGTTGCACGAATGAGAAGGCGCATGTCAGGCGTGGCAGGTGACGTCCCCTGCGAGCCCTCCCACAGCCTCTTCTGTTTCACACCTCGGCATTTTCTGCGCTGTGGTCACCGCTCCCATTGGCCGCCCTCTGTGACACGAGAGCCGCCTGTACTCCTCTCCGTCGCATTGCAGAGTCGTGAGGAGGGCCTGAGGGTGCGTTGAGGAGCCGTGTGGCCTCTGCGAGCATTTCCTCTGTTTTTCTGAGGTGTTGAATTTTGGATTACCGAAACGCCACTTGAGTGCTTGCGTCAGAGGCACACATAACTAAGGGACAGGCGTGTCTGTGGAATTGAAGGAGGGCCACACCATTGGGAGGAGGAAGAGTGAATGGGTGGGTGTGTCTGTGGCCCACATGTGGTGCCCGACTGGTGCTTCACTTTGTTTGGTGCTATTATGATTCGCCTCCACAAAGAACGGCATTGGGTGCTGTTTTTCCCAACTCTCTTACTGTGTCTGTGTGTTGCGTGTTTGTGGGCATGACTCTTCTTCCGTGCTGTGCATTTGCCGCGTAAGCTGCTGATGTTCTTTGTGGCACATATGATGATTTGCCGTATTTTTTTGGATTGTGCCTTGATCTCCGCCGCGGGATGACAGCCGGATTGGAGGCGTTGCTTTTTCTTCACTGTGACCACGTGCGGTGTTTATGGGAGGCCTCTCGGGGAAGCGCCAGCCGACATTGTTGTGAAGCCCAGGCATGATGCCACACTGCTTGTTGACGCGGAATGAGTTGAGAGGTTTGCATATAAGCTCCTGTGCATTCTTGCCGTGGTGCTCCTCACGCACAGCCCATGAAGACGACTGGTTGGGAATGTTCAATGGGCTTCTCGTTGAGCGGAGGGGAGAATACTGCCTTGTTTACGCATTGAGAGCCCGGGCGTCACGGATGATGCATGAGGCAAGCAGAACCTTGTGCATGGCGGAAGGAGGAGACGAAGGGCTGGTTGTTTGATTGTTAGCGATGAATCCTGTCTCACTGCTTGGAGGGAGCTGTCGTTGGCTGGGGCAACCTGTTTTGTGTGTCCAGACACTGTTTGCGCCGAGTGGCGCGGTGCCGTGTTGGTGTGCGCGGCTCCATCGTGCGGGGAAGCAGAGCGTGACGTTTACGGACTGTGTGCCTGTGAGCTGATGAACGTGGCGGGAGGCGTGTCTGAGGAGAATCTGCGAAAGAAGGAGTGACATGCGTTTGGCGGTGCTGTGCGATGTGCGAGGGGAGGAAAAACATGTGCTTTCTGACATGTCGGTGGGTGTGCCACGGCCACCGATGAGTTCTCAGGGAGAGGGAAAGGAGGGAGTGAGACGGAGACTGTGCGCACCCACCGCGGCGTGTGGTGCCAGAGGATGCGATTGCCATTACGACGGGCGCAACGGCCATCATGCGTGCATCAGAGCGTCATCTGCATCATTGTGCCTGCAGAGCCTGCAGGTGCTGCGAGGAGGTGCGGACGACCTCTCGTTATTGGGCTGCTAAGGCCGTTTTTCCTCTCTACCCAGCGGGAGAAGCAACTCTTCCTGCACGTGACGTGCTGGTCTGCATCGATACTCCCAACGGGGTGTCACGCAGCCGTGTCGTTGCAGCGCAACTCTCTTTTTCCTCACTCCACACGTGGACCTGTCGCTTGGCTTATTTGCAGGGCCATGGCCTGTGGTCCCCATTGAGAGGTCGTTCACGTGCTTTTTTTTTTAGTATGCTGTTGAGAGGTGCTGGAGAATAATGGCTGCGGGGATGTTAATGTTGTGGTTTGCTGTGAGTGGTGGCGGTGTGCACTGCTGTTTTGTTGCCTTTCTGCCGCTGTTGCCTGTTGCTCTTCTCCAAGAAGGAAAGCAAGAAAACAAGCGCCAATCACTACTGTGAGATTCGAAGGCACTGAAAGGACCAACAGCACGCACACCGCCCACACACACATATTTATATGCTCTCACGTGTTGCTGCGGTGAAGGCACCCCGCCCACGCAACCGTCGCCGCGTGACCGGATCCAGCGGAAGGAGGAGGGATGGAAGAGAGAGTGAGCCGCAGAGGCCCAACATGTCCCGGCGCGTGTTTACTTCCGCGGTGCTTCCGCTCTTTTTTGTTGATGATGTGCTGCGGCCCCTGTGATGCTGTTGTGGAGAGTAATTCAAATTGTGTAATTATCTTTCACTGGAGAGGAATCAATTTATGATTCAATGGATGCCACGAGGGTGGTCAGTTGTGATTTGTTACGTGTAACTTTTCTTTTTGGAGTGAGTGGTGTTGTTGTGGCCGTTGCTGAAGCGCATTTCAAAAACAACAAGGATGGCAAATTGCGTGCTGGCATTGCTGCAAAGTCGATGGAATTCAATGGAGGGACGTGGGCGAATGGAACTGGCATGATGTTTGATTATTACGACATTAAAGTTGACCGCCTATTGAGCCCAACGACTATTATGGCTGATGGAGAAACATGTGCTCTTGTCGGGGGTTATGGCGAGTCAGGGGCTCCATGGACGAAGGTGGCTGTTGATGGCTATTGGTCGTCCAGGTATGCGAGGAGCACCGTTTTGTCTGAAGATGATGATAAGGATAAGAGGGAGTTTGAGTGGAATCAATAAACAACTTTGAGAGTCTTTCTTGACAGCTTTTTGAAGGATTTCAAACCCAATGCCGAACCCCACAAACAATTTCTGGGTGGTGGCGGTGCACGCATTCGGCTGGAGGACGATGATTCTTATGTGCTGCCCATTCAAGCACTTACTAATGGTGGAGAGGTCGTTTCGTTGATAATACTCGCCAACGGTTTAGTGTATGATAAGGAGTTTTCAAATGATAGGAGCCATGAGGGCTGCATCCAGCCTGCGACGCTTGAATGGGAGGGCAAAGGTCTCCGCATGATGACGTCGTGTGAGGACGGCAGCCGCAGGGCTTGCAGGGCGGACGGAGGCATACGACACTCTTTCACGCGTGTGGGGCAACTCACGGACACGTACAGGGCACGGCGTGCCGGGTGGCTTCGTCAGCGCGACGATCGATGGACAGAAAGTCATCCTCATCAGCCGGCCGGTATAATCTGGGAAGGAGGGAGAAGAAGAAACGCGTCGGCTTCACTTGTGGCTGACGGACATGAGCTGAATTTATGATGTTGCGCCGATATCCGCTGAGAATGAGAACGTCGCCGCCAGCACTCTGCTGTACGCCGCAGAAAAAGCGTCATTGCGTAAGGAAGCAAAGAAGGAAAAGTGAAAACTGCGCTGCTCGTACGAGGTCGCTGCTGCGGAGGAAGGTAAGCAGTACAACATTGCTTTTTGGACTTGACGGGGAATTTGAAGGAAATGAAGAAGGTTTTGGCTGCCTGGAAGGAAAGAGACGCGTGCATTGCGAGGGAATACGGCTGCGGGAATGAAAAGAATGACAAGAAGCGCAGTGGTTGTGGCGGTGACTTTGGCAAAGGGCTGGTTGTCTTCTTATCCAGCACGTCAACTGTGAATACATGGAGTGGCGAGTGCCCCTGCGTGAATGCAATCGTTCACTTGGCAGTGACAAGTACTCCTGATGGTGGACTGACGTTCCAAGGGTCTGGAGCGTGGGCGGAGTGGCCTGTTGGCAAGCAGGGGCAGAAACAGCTGTACCACTTCGCGAACTACAAATTCACTCTTGTGGCGACGGTGTCGGTCCCGGAGGTGATGGAGGGCATCGGCAGCTCCTTTCCTTTGATGGGTGTGAGGATAAATGACCACAAAAGCACGCCGCCCTTTGATCTGTTGTGGGCGAAGAAAAATAAGTGGGAGATAATCTTCAACGGCAGTCGTTTGGCGCTGCCGGCGGATGCCAAGTGGGAACTGAACACAACACATAGGGTGGGACTGGAAATGGATTACTTTAAGGAGTTGCTTGTGTACGTGGATGGATTGACGGTATACGACGGTGGTGGTGAGGATTACAGCTTCTTTGAAGAGACAAAAACAGTGTTGGGGTTCCACAGCGTCTCACAATTTTAAATTGGCGGCGACGGCAAAAGGGACTCAGGCAACATTCATGTGACGGTGAGCAACGTCCTGCTGTACAACCGCGCGTTGTACGATGACAAGCTTAAAGCACTAATGAAGACGAAAGCAGTCGCTGCTTCAGAGGCGAGGGTGCCGGCCCCGAAAGGTGCGCCTGAAAGCAGCCACGCAAGTGAATCTTCTGATGAGCCTGCCAATGGGTCCGTCGCCATGGATGAAGCGCGGCAGTACGCCACATCATCATCACCACAAAGACAAGACTCACCGGCGCAACCATTATGAAATAAGAAAGGCCCAACAGTTTCCAGGCAAACTTTTTCTTCTGACGTAATTGGCCTTGCCACCCCAGCTGCCAAGGGGGAAATGAAGAAAGAGGCGGCGAGCAGTGGTGGAATGGCGCTTGCGTTGTCTCCGACACCGAGCGTGGGCAGTCGCCAGGAGGTACTTGAAGCCAGGAAGCCTTTCGGTGGGGAGCGCCCTGAGGGTGGCCAGGAGCCCTTGCCTCCCAACTTGGCTGCATCGACGATGGGGCAGGCGGGCAAGGCGGATGAAGGCTCTCTGCGGAACGGAACCGAAGACGATTGAACGCAGCACAGAACTTCACTGTATGTTTTGAGGAGCGTGCACAACGAGCCGGCCAATGCCGACACGCTCACGAGCGAAGAACAAGACGCTGACCGTGAAGAGGACACGCATGTCCGCACTGCCGTGGGCACGAACAGCGGCCCCGATTTACTCAACGGCACTCACGCGACGCCCGCGGATGCCACCACAGCCACGTCTGCGTTCAACAGAGACCAGACAATTGTTCACCACAAGGATAACGTGTCGGATGACGTTGGTGCTGCACTGACTCCCACGAGCACAGCGCCTGGGGGGACAGAGACCCCATTGGAGTCCAACGCAGCGCCGCCTTTGGGCAACGACATTTTTGATTCGGAGAATATCACCGAGTTGATGTCCATTGGTTTAGTTGGCGAAAGCACCGTCCATGGATGTGTGTCTCGGGCGTTTTTGCTTCTGCTTTTGGGACTGTGTGGAGTCGTGGAAGGCTCATGAGCCAAAGGGTGTGGATGTGCGGCTCCTCATGGAGAATATTTACCGCTTTTCCCGCGGTCCTTTTTTTGGTTTGTTTTCTATAATATATATCTATATATTTTTTGATGTTACATTATCATTGCCTGCTGCTGTTTTTGTACTGGGACAATCATCACTCCTGCTCTTTTCTTCTCTTTAATGTTCGGTTGCTGCATGCCGTCATGAGTGACGTGCCTCCCCTCTTCTTTGATTTTTTTGCCCACACGCGGTGCAGACCTCACTGCTGTGCGAGTCCCACCGACTGCACAAAAGGAGGAGTGGAGGGGACGAGGCCGGAGGCCGCGATGAAATGTGAGGGATGTTGTGTGGACTCGTGGAACGGTGTGTTCTTTTTAAAATATATTTCATTAATTTTTTGTTTGTGTGGGTCGATAATTAAG